AAGCACTTACTGATGAAGATCAAAGACCACAGCCTTCAATATGGATTACACCTCAACATAAAGAAAACAAAAATCCTCACAACTGGACCAATAAACAACATCATGAAAAATGGAGAAGAGACTGAAGTTGTCCAGGATTTCTTTCACGTGGATCCACATTCAACACCCGGGGAAGCAGCCGTCAGGAAATCAAAAGATGCACTGCACTGGGCAGACCTGCTACAAAAGACCTCTTTAAAGTTGAAAAGCAAACACGTCACCTTGAAGATCAAGGTGCACCGGACCCAAGCCATGGTATTTTCAACTGCCTCATATGCCTGGGAAAGCTGGGCAATGAATAAGGAAGACAGAAGAAGAGCTGACACCTTTGAATGGCGGTGCTGGTGAAGAATACTGAATATACCACGGGCTGCCAAAAGAACAAACAAATCTGCCTCGGAAGAAGTACAACACATATTCTTCCTAACCACTCTGGTATTATGCCAGCACCTAATTAGGAAAAAGCAGAAGTTAAGAACCTTGCCCCCAGCAATAATTTAAGTAACAGAAGATAATATTTGGAGCTCAGCTACCTATTTTTACTTCTGTTACCTAAACACTCTAAGACATGCAGCCTTATTAGATAAAGGAAAAGCGACAGAAAGGCCAAAAGCATAGCAAAGATTTTAGCTCAGAATTTTGTACTAAAATGATCTTCGTAATAAGTTACATATTTCAAATTTAAGCATTTTTTATACATTTAAGAACACTTAAGAAAGTCAAATGTACTGTTTTAGTTGTCAATAAGCCATTTATTCATTAGCAATAACCTGTTTAGTGCCTACTAAGTGCAGTAAGACACACAAAAGTCCAACATATTCTTCCTAACTGCCCTCAACTCGGGCTGAGGAAGAAAACATGTTCCCAAAGAATTATAAAACGGGGTGCAGTGGCCATCTCAGTAACAGACAAAATAGAATTTAAATCAAAAGCAATTATAGCGATGAAGAGGGATACAATTTAACGATAAACGGGACAACCCAATAAGAAGATAAAATAATCATATACCTATACATACGTAACACAGCCTTCGAATAAAATAAAAATCAAAACAAAATTTTTAAGTGAAATTAACAAAATTAAAAATAATGAGACTTTAAAACATTTCCGTAACTAGAGCATACACACAAAAAAATAAAGATACTGATGATCTGAACAACACAATAAGTAATCTTGAACTAATTGGAAAAACTTCTGAACCCTCAGAAGAAATGCCCATTTTACCACATATAAAGGCTTTATAATCCCAAAGAATCAACATCAAATAGACTCCATTCTTTACCCACAGTGCTCACTGAATTTAGAAACCAACACTTATCATTTTATTAAGTCCAAGGATATCCCTTACTTTTCTAATTTCTTAACTTGAAATGATCACAGCAAGCTAAGGAAATACAATTACCTTCTGAGCATTTAGTCTTTCAGTTTCATCTAAATCCAAAAACATGTCCAAATCACATCCTAGTTTCCCAAAGCTATTTACTGAAGAGCCAAAGGGTCTGACTGTACAATAAGGAAAATACGCAGCCGCTATGTCTTCAATAAGAGAACAGGTGAGCTGTCGAAGCTTTGCGTTCTCCTCTGTTACCTGGGACGCCTTCAAGAGTGTGTTCAGCTGATCATCGATCTAGCTGGCCAAAACAAAAACAAAAAACAGAGACAATGTACATGTCACATAAAATAACTGTCATTTTACTTCTAGAAATTGGATAGTTTTAGAGACTTACCTTGAAAATATGCAATTTTTTCCTTCAACCTTAAAAGTAGATTTTTTAAATATCCTTTAAAAGAATCTAGACTTTCTGGAGCCACTGAGACTGGATGAACTCCCAAAACTATTGCCCTAATATAATCTTTAAACTTTAAACCTTTAAGCCAAATATATTCCCTGAAGTCTTCTTAAAAACAAATAATAAACAGACACTTCACCAAAGAAGACATTCAAATGGCCAACAGACACGAGGAAATGCTCGCGATCACTAGCCATTAGAGAAATGCAAATTAAAACCACAATGAGATACCATCTC